TCATTATGTACTGGAGTGCGATAAAATTAATGAATTTAGAAACAACTCACTCAGAAATGTTTAAAATGTCAAAATATTTTATCCACAGTGGTATTATTACAGACCTTCTGGAAAATTACCCCGACTTTGCCCCCGTAAATAAAACGTTACCACGTGTGTGTGTGGGGTGGGGTGGGTGTGTGTGTGTGTTGTGTGTGTGTGTGTGGGGTGTGTGTGTGTGTTTTGTGTGGGTTTTGTGTGTACTCACCTAGTTGTATTCACCTAGTGAGGTTGAGGGGCGAGTCCAAGCTCTGGCCCCGCCTTTCACTGGTCGCTTTCTAGGTCATCCCCTGAACCGTGAGCTTTATCATACCCCTGCTTAAAGTATGTATGGATCTGCCTCCACTACATCGCTTCCCAAACTATTCCACTTCCTGACTACTCTATGGCTGAAGAAATACTTCCTAACACCCCTGTGATTCATCTGTGTCTTCAACTTCCAACTGTGTCCCCTTGTTGCTGTGTCCCATCTCTGGAACATCCTGTCTTTGTTCATCTTGGCAATTCCTCTCAGTATTTTGTATGTCGTTATCATGTCCCCCCTATCTCTCCTGTCCTCCAGTGTCGTCAGGTTGATTTCCCTTAACCTCTCCTCGTAGGACATACCTCTTAGCTCTGGAACTAGTCTTGTTGCAAACCTTTGCACTTTCTCTAGTTTCTTTACGTGCTTGGCTAGGTGTGGGTTCCAAACTGGTGCCGCATACTCCAATATGGGCCTAACGTACACGGTGTACAGGGTCCTGAACGATTCCTCATTAAGATGTCGGATTGCTGTTCTGAGGTTTGCTAGGCGCCCATATGCTGCAGCAGTTATTTGGTTGATGTGCGCTTCAGAAGATGTGCCTGGTGTTATACTCACCCCAAGATCTTTTTCCGTGAGTGAGGTTTGTAGTCTCTGGCCCCCTAGACTGTACTCCGTCTGCGGTCTTCTTTGCCCATCTCCAATCTTCATGACTTTGCACTTGGTGGGGTTGAACTCCAGGAGCCAATTGCTGGACCAGGTCTGCAGCCTGTCCAGATTCCTTTGTAGTTCTGCCTGGTCTTCGATCGAATGAATTCTTCTCATCAACTTCACGTCATCTGCAAACAGGGACACTTCGGAGTCTATTCCTTCCGTCATGTCGTTCACAAATACCAGAAACAGCACTGGTCCTAGGACTGACCCCTGTGGGACCCCGCTGGGCACAGGTGCCCACTCTGACACCTCGCCACGTACCATGACTCGCTACTGTCTTCCTGACAAGTATTCCCTGATCCATTGTAGTACCTTCCCTGTTATCCCTGCTTAGTCGTCCAGTTTTTGCACTAATCTCTTGTGTAGAACTGTGTCAACGCCTTCTTGCAGTCCAAGAAAATGCAATCCACCCACCCCTCTCTCTCTTGTCTTACTGCTGTCACCATGTCATAGAACTCCAGTAGGTTTGTGACACAGGATTTCCCATCCCTGAAACCATGTTGGCTGCTGTTGATGAGATCATTCCTTTCTAGGTGTTCCACCACTCTTCTCCTGATAATCTTCTCCATGACTTTGCATACTATGCATGTCAGTGACACTGGTCTGTAGTTTAGTGCTTCATGTCTGTCTCCTTTTTTAAAGATTGGGACTACATTTGCTGTCTTCCATGCCTCAGGCAATCTCCCTGTTTCGATAGATGTATTGAATATTGTTGTTAGGGGTGCACATAGCGCCTCTGCTCCCTCTCTCAATACCCATGGAGAGATGTTATCCGGCCCCATTGTCTTTGAGGTATCTAGCTCACTCAGAAGCCTCTTCACTTCTTCCTTGGTTGTGTGTACTGTGTCCAGCACTTGGTGGTGTGCCCCACCTCTCCGTCTTTCTGGAGCCCCTTCTGTCTCCTCTGTCTCTCCTCCTTCCTTCCTTAGCCTGATTACCTGGTCCTTGACTGTTGTTTTCCTCCTGATGTGGCTGTATAACAGCTTCGGGTCAGATTTGGCTTTCGCTGCTGTGTCGTTTTCATATTGTCGTTGGGCCTCTCTTCTTATCTGTGCATATTCATTTCTGGCTCTACGACTGCTCTCCTTATTTTTCTGGGTCCTTTGCTTCTATATTTCTTCCATTCCCTAGCACACTTGGTTTTTGCCTCCCTGCACCTTTGGGTGAACCATGGGCTCATCCTGGCTTTTTCATTAGTCCTGTTACCCTTGGGTACAAACCTCTCCTCAGCCTCCTTGCACATTGGTGCTACATATTCCATCATCTCATTAACTGGCTTCCCTGCCAGTTCTCTGTCCCACTGAACCCCGTTTAGGAAGTTTCTCAATCCTGTGTAGTCCCCTTTCTTGTAGTTTGGCTTCATTTGTCCTGGCCTTCCTGCTTCCCCCTCCACTTGTAGCTCTATTGTGTATTCGAAGCTTAAAACCACATGATTGCTGGCCCCAAGGGGTCTTTCATATGCGATGTCCTCAATATCTGCACTACTCAAGGTGAATACTAGGTCCAGTCTTGCTGGTTCATCCTCTTCTCTCTTTCTTGTAGTGTCCCTTACGTGTTGATGCATGAAATTTTCCAGTACCACCTCCATCATCTTAGCCCTCCATGTGTCTTGGCCCCCATGTGGCTCCAAGTTCTCCCAATCAATCTCCTTGTGGTTAAAATCGCCCATGATCAGGAGCTTTGCCCTGCATGCATGAGCTCTTCTGGCCACTGCAGCCAGTGTGTCAACCATCGCTCTATTGCTCTCGTCATACTCTTGCCTTGGTCTCCTGCTGTTCTGTGGTGGGTTATACATCACTGCAATTACCACCTTGGGACCTCCAGAGTGAAGTGTTCCCGCTATGTAATCGCTTGCTTCTCCGCTGTCTCCTCTCTCCAGCTCATCAAAATTCCATCGGTTTTTGCTCAACAGTGCCACTCCTCCACCTCCCCTGTTACCTCTGTCTTTCCTCAAGATCTGGTATCCCATTGGAAAGATGGCATCTGTTATCATACCTGTTAGCTTGGTTTCTGTGAGAGCTATGATGTCCGGTGATGCCTCTTTGACTCTTTTGTGCCACTCCTCCCACTTATTTGTTATTCCATCAGCGTTTGTGTATCATACCTTCAGTTTCCTTTCCAACACTGTGTTTTGGGGGGCCTGTGAGGGTGGGAGACCTGGTAGCATACTGTGGGATTCTATAGCTGGGTGTTGGGTGGAAGCTGTGCGTGTGGATTGTAGTTTGTGTTGGGATGGTGTTCTGAGGATAGTTCTGTGTGTGCTTGCCCTTGCTGTGCTGTTCTGCTGTTTGTGTGTGTGTGTACTCACCTAGTTGAGGTTGCAGGGGTCGAGTCCAAGCTCCTGGCCCCGCCTCTTCACTGGTGTGTGTGTGTGTGTGTGTGTGTGTGTGTGTGTGTGTGTGTGTGTGTGTGTGTGTGTGTGTGTGTGTGTGGGTGTGTGGGTGTGTGTGTGTGTGTGTGTGTGGGTGTTAGTCGACTGGTGTGGGTCGCATCCTAGGCCACTGACCTAATTTACCTGAAATGTCCAGCATAACAAGGGGCTTTCTATATAGTAGTATGTCACTGATGTCAGCTAGAACTGTATACCTTATACATGTACTTGTAGTAAATAAGGATATTATTACAGTTGTGACCGGGTGTGGACGTGTGAATTGCTCATTACTATATAATTTGTTTATGATTGTAACTATGTATGAACGTAAGTAAGTAAATTTGCTTACTTAACACGATTCATTACCTTTGTAACTTGTGATTTCATTACCTTCGTACCTTGTTCAGCTATCAAAACTTTGGGGCCCAGTCCCTGAACCCATCTTGCACCTCTGGAATATTTTAACTACCACCCACAGGATAGGTATGGGGTGCATAACAAAGATATTAGACTAAAAACATCCAAACTCATTGTGTACCCATTGACCCAATAAATCTTAGGCTTGCCTCCACGCCTCTTATTATTAGCCAACCACGCTACCATACCATCTTACAACAATGGAACAATGACACAAAAGGAAAACAGGAAACAGAACAAGACAGCAATCATGTTTTACGTAAGACCCATGTTAAGCAACACTTGTCCTGTTACTCGACGAAGCTTACCTAAAATGGGAAGAACACAAGAAGAATGACCAAGCACAGGATATAAACTCCCTGAGATATACAATATATCTCATTTATATGCTGAGAGTTTAATCCCTACTTTAAGGGTTATTGTATTCATAAATGGCTCTGAACAAGTTGCATGCAGTCAGTGCGGCCTATAGTCGATAGGCTTTAAGCCCCATTAATAGTGGGTAAACAACTTATAAAGTTGTGGGTTGTGTGTGAATTATTGTCACCTTCATTCATCGTTACTTGACAGTGAAGGTAGGTAATTAAGTTTATTTAGGCACAGGTACACATAAGTACAATTATCATACAGAGTGTAAATTACTTATTATAACCCAAAAATAAGTCAGTGACTTATTTCCTTTTTGGTAGTGGTAAGAAAAACCATGTATAAAATAAACACTGAAAAAATATTTATATAACTTACGTATCTTCTTGGAAAATAAAGTCATTATTATTATTATTATTATTATTATTATTATTATTATTATTATTATTATTATCAGACTAGGGTTTATAATAAAAAAGTTATGGAAACTTTTTATTAATGGGACAGTCAATATATATATATATATATATATATATATATATATATATATATATATATATATATATATATATATATATACATATATATATATATATATATATATATATATATATATATATATATATATATATATATATATATATATATAATATATATTATATATATATATATATATATATATATATATATATATATATATATATATATATATATACATATATATATATATATATATATATATATATATACATATATATATATATATATATATATATATATATATATATATATATATATATATATATATATATATATATATATATATATATATATATATATATATATTTCTAACTTAAGTTTTCTTGGGCAGAGTTATTGGTCGTGTCCACCCCATCCATGTATGCAGGAAAGTGGCAAATGCCAACCACGTTTGTCCTTTCTGTACTGAGTTTGTTTACAAGAATGTGTTATAACATGAGTTTCAACTGATTCCACACTCTTGAACAATTACACACAGCGCAAATGTTGTTATAATTCTTGGTGTTCGTAGTCGAGGTTCATATCATCGTCGTCATCATCATCCTGAGTTTCATAGATACAGTCTCCTGGAAATGCCTCCTGGAAATTATAAGACAGACATTAACTAGAGCGACTATAAATAAAGAGCTTATTTGACACTCTTTTTTAGAGTAACAGATTACAACTTAAAATTCATTAATATTTTTCCTTATATGTACAGAACAGTAATTTTTAAACGTGACTGAAACATCTGAATAGCCTTACCTCACAGTGGTCGTAGCTACCAGATATTGCTTGTATAGTTAGCACTAACAGCGTTGAATCTGACTGCTCTAGCAGAGGACCCGAGGCTAAGAACACGCTGAAGTAAAGAAATTAATAAGACTGAGTGTATGTGAACATGTCAGCTCTGTACCAGGAACTTTATATATCATAAGAAGCGCGAGATGTATTGGTTAACGGTAGCACAAAAATAATATGTATTTTAATATGTAATTTGGAAGGTTAATTTACTGAAAGTTTATATTTTGTTACCGTCTATGCTGGGATTATTACTGAACACAGCGGATGATGGGTGAATAGCTGGGTGAGTCAGGACAACACAAGGGAAAATAGCTGGGTGAGTCAGGACAACACAAGGGTGAATAGCTGGGTGAGTCAGGACAACACAAGGGTGAATAGCTGGGTGAGTCAGGACAACACAAGGGAAAATAGCTGGGTGAGTCAGGACAACACAAGGGAAAATAGCTGGGTGAGTCAGGACAACACAAGGGTGAATAGCTGGGTGAGTCAGGACAACACAAGGGAAAATAGCCTGGTGAGTCAGGACAACACAAGGGAAAATAGCTGGGTGAGTCAGGACAACACAAGGGAAAATAGCTGGGTGAGTCAGGACAACACAAGGGAAAATAGCTGGGTGAGTCAGGACAACACAAGGGAAAATAGCTGGGTGAGTCAGGACAACACAAGGGTGAATAGCTGGGTGAGTCAGGACAACACAAGGGAAAATAGCTGGGTGAGTCAGGACAACACAAGGGAAAATAGCTGGGTGAGTCAGGACAACACAAGGGAAAATAGCTGGGTGAGTCAGAGCAACACGAGCAGGTGAACTACCACATCCTCACTATCTCCCCTTAAAATAACTATCTTATCCAATATTTCCAATATCCAGTATCCAAACAGCTCGTTACAAACTAGGCAACAGAAAAGCGGCCAAAAAATACAGGCCAGTAACTCTAACATTACACATACACACCAAAAAAGTCTTTGAAATGATACATGGGCAGACAGAAGATCATTATGATAAAAATCAATGAAGCTTTGAAATAAATAAATAAATAAATGTGTGATCCATACTAATTTTGAAAGGGAATTTGACATGAGATCAAGGCTTTATTTCATAAAATAAGGGCAACAGGTATAAAAGGAAGAGTAAAGGCATGGATATTCAGGTCTCTAATAAATAGAGACTTAAGTCTCGAGACACTCCCCAGATAGGGAGCCAAGGCCGGGTCACCACTACTTGGAAAAGACCCGGGCCGGGAGAGTACCGGCGAATAAAAAAAAAAAATAGAACACAAAGAGTGGCAGTAAAAATATCTAATCCTAGCACAGTAAAAAGCTCAGTATCGCATGGCACTGACCTGGCAACTTCACTGTTTCTAATCCTCATAGCACAGAGTCGTGACTTGTTGGGGTGGGAGATCTGGGAGGGGAAATGTTGAATAAGCCTAATGTAAAGCAGGGGCGCCGTTGACGTCATTGTGTCAACATCTGTGGTTCAAGACTATTCGATTAATTATAAACTGATATTAAAATTATTTCCGGAACAAAGGAAGAAATTTTCTAAGAAACTGGATCACTATCAACTGAAAGTGAGTGATCAGCTTGGTTGTGATGACAATGTGGGGTTGCAAGCCACTAGAAGCAACAGCATGTTTGACCTGATAGCCAATTCAAAAGCCTGACAGGTCAGCATTCTCATAGATGAGAGTACTGACCTGATTGTGAGGGTACTAGACTAGTAGTGAAGGTACTGGCCTGATTGTGATGGTACTGGCCTGATAGTGAGGGTACTGGCCTGATAGTCAAGGTACTGGCCTGATAGTGAGGGCACTGGCCTGATAGTGAGGGTAATGGCCTAATTGTGAGGTACTGAATTGGCTGTGAGGGGGTTCTGACCAGAGTATGAGGATATTGAGGTAGTTGTGAGGGTATTGACCTGACTGTGAGGGTACTAACCTGACTGCGCGGGTAACAGCTGCCCTCAGGGAGTCAGGTTTGAAACCTGAGTTGCGTCGACACAGCAGCTGGGGTAGACAGCTGGGCGTCGCCCCCCGCGTCGTGGCAGCCACCTCCACCACCGCCTCAAACACTTCATTCAGCGACGCTTTCACCTCCGCCTCCACCTGTATTCCCTCAAATGAAAAACAACATCAGGTACTTGAAAACACGTACACACACGCATAACTCACGAAATCGTAAGAACACGATTGCAAACAAATCACAGAACGGGTGGTGTTTCAAGCTATGGCTCAGTGGCTTACGCACTGGCCTGGAGTTTTACGACTCACTCTCCGTGGGTTCAAACCCCAACCGTTCCGTGTTTTTGTTTTTTTTACACACGCATAGTGCTATCCCTGCTAGTGAGAAAATATTTTGTTTTTATTAATCCCAAGGGTTAAATGCTCAGGTTAAGCCAAGAAAACCAAGCAGTGTGGCTTACTTCGGCTGGGATCCTCAGGTCCCTCCCCCTGAGGATGAGACTCACAACAGCTGTCTCGTAATTACCCATTTACTGCTAGGTGAACATGGGCAGCAGGTGTTATGTGAGTTGTGTATACACCTCTCTCCCTTCCAAGATTGAACCTGGGTCTTTTTAGTTGTAAGCCTTACTGAAAACCCTTGATATATTTTCATAAGTCATTTCAGTATACAAATATTACATCCATATCATAGTGTACATTTTCCTGATTGAAACACCTATAGTAGGGAATACACTTTCTGGTGTATTTCTTAAAATATATTAAAAGTTATGGGAAGATTCATGTTAAACATACACGTCAGAATATGAGGAACGTGGTAACAGGCAAACTAATAATAAATAAATTCAAGTTAGGGTCAATTTTTATTTTTTTTTTATTTCGTCGATTTTTTTTTTTTTTGGGGGGGGGGGGCGCTAAACCTTGTGTGGGTCATATACCGCCTGGGAAGGCAATGGTAGGCAATCAGGTTTGATACAAGGAAGGGGAGGATAGGTCGAGTTCTTTTGAATGAGATCCTCTCCGGCGATGATGCATCTCCTTTGAACAGGGCCAAATTTTTTTTATGCCTAATTTAGTTGGGAAAATATAGGTCATTCCCATTAAATGGTCTACATTTAACTGGGAATCAAGCAAATCTATCAGTTGATTTCAGACAATTCAGTTAGTTGGCTGAAGATCGTAGTAGATTTTAGAACGTCAGTTTGGTTGTCTTGGACTACAGGTGAGTATCAGCAAATTTGATTACTAATTGTGTTTTCAAGTCACATTTTTTTTATATAAAAGAATGGAGTACATGATAATATTAATGTATATTATAGGAACTGTTAATGCCCCTCATCAGTGACGGTGAAAGTGAGATATAATATTCTTTCTTCATATTTCACTATGAAAAATGTTATTTCTCCTTTTGTTAAATACAAATTGGTCATATGTACATGACAGTTTAGTGAAAAATATAAGAGAGGTAAGTTAACAAAGTTTTCCTCGTGAAACTTTCTCACCTCGCACACCAACTTACTCTAACTTGGTTTTTATTAGTATTACAGAAAACCCTTTATTCTACATCTTATGATGTGATAATTATATTTTACTGAGTGAACCAGTGAGCCAGTGGAGCGCCTCTGTCATGTGTCATCATATGGCTACCTGGAGTTTACTTGGAGAGGGTTTCGGGGGTCAACGCCCCCGCGGCCCGGTTTGAGACCAGCCTCGTGGTCGATCAGGGTTTGACCAACCAGGCTGTTGCTGCTGGCCCCACGCAGACGTATGAACCACAGCCTGGCTGATCAGGCACTGGCTTTAGGTTCCTGTCCAGTGCCTTCTTGAAGACAGCCAGGGGTCTATTGGTAATCCCCCTTATGTATGCTGGGAGACAGTTGAAGAGTCTTGGGCCCCAGACACTTACTGTGTTGTCTCTCAGTGTACTCGTGGTGCCCCTGCTTTTCATTGCGGGAATGTTGCATCTCCTGCTGAGTCTTTTACTTTCATAAGGAGTGATTTTCGTGTGCAAGTTTGGTACACTTGGAAAATCTAGGATTTTCCAAGTGTATATTATCATGTATCTCTCTCGCCTGCACTCCAGGGAATACAGATCAAGGGCCTTCAACCGTTTCCAGTAATTTAAGTGCCTCATCGTACTTACGTGTGCCAGGTCAGCAATTTCGCCTGCCTTGAAGGGGGCAGTTAGTGTACAGCAGTATTCCAGCCTAGAGAGAACAAGCGATTTGAGGAGAATCATCATGGGCTTGGCACATATAAGAGAGGAACTTACGACGACGTTTCGGTCCGACTTGGACCATTTACAAAGTCACACAACGTAAAGGAGAGAAGGAGGGAGTATATATAGGCCAGGAGGTGGTAGTGGTAGTAGTGGAGGTAGAAGATAGTAGTGGGGGAGGTAGTATGGTGGAGGTGGAGCCAGTCAAATACTGAGAAAGAGGAGCACTGCAATGGAGTCATGGTATTGTGCCTTTTATGTTATTTTAAGGTTCTCATTATCCATCCTATCATTTTTTTTTTAGCAGACGCAGTAGATACATTGTTGTGATCTTTGAAGGTGAGATCCTCTGACATCAACACTCCCAGGTCCTTCACAATACTTTCTCGTTCTACAGTATGGCTAGAATTTGTTGTATACCCTGATACAGTTTTCATTTCCTCAAGTTTTCTGTATTTGGTAAATTGAAATTTCTCTTCATTGAACTTCATATTGTTTTGAGTGGCCCATTTGAAGAATCAGAGTCTGGAAATATTTTTCTTTCCATTTCTGCCATGAAGAAAAATACCTCACCACCTTTAGTAAGTCAAAGACGTGGAGTCACACAAAGTGGTTCCTCACCAAGGATGATAAACACTGAATATAACCCGGAGGTTACTCACACCGCCTCCAGTCCAAGGATGATAAACACTGAATATAACCCGGAGGTTACTCACAGCGCCTCCAGTCCAAGGATGATAAACACTGAATATAACCCGGAGGTTACTCACAGCGCCTCCAGTCCAAGGATGATAAACACTGAATATAACCCGGAGGTTACTCACAGCGCCTCCAGTCCAAGGATGATAAACACTGAATATAACCCGGAGGTTACTCACAGCGCCTCCAGTCCAAGGATGATAAACACTGAATATAACCCGGAGGTTACTCACACCGCCTCCAGTCCAAGGATGATAAACACTGAATATAACCCGGAGGTTACTCACACCGCCTCCAGTCCAAGGATGATAAACACTGAATATAACCCGGAGGTTACTCACAGCGCCTCCAGTCCAAGGATGATAAACACTGAATATAACCCGGAGGTTACTCACACCGCCTCCAGTCCAAGGATGATAAACACTGAATATAACCCGGAGGTTACTCACACCGCCTCCAGTCCAAGGATGATAAACACTGAATATAACCCGGAGGTTACTCACACCGCCTCCAGTCCAAGGATGATAAACACTGAATATAACCCGGAGGTTACTCACAGCGCCTCCAGTAAATAATAATAACAATGACAACATTATTTTCTAAAAATACAATATACTTATTTTGAATACGATTTTCTTGAAAACACTGATGTATATTTTGACAAGTATAGTATTAATTTGAAGCCCATTGTATGCACAATATTCCGCGAAGAACTCAAACTAATACAGATAAGTTTATATAACATGCCGGGTAAAGATAATACCATAATATGTAACATTTTGATTAGTAGGCCTACTGTGATATTGACCAAGAAACTTAAAAATAAAAACAGTCATAATAAACAACTTAAGTTGGGCTTGTAATAGAGGGTTTTAACATGATATTAAAACTAATTATAATAAACAGTGTGGAAACCATATAGAAGTTATTTATGTAAGCGAAATTGATTAAAACTCTTTAATGACGGTAATCGAATTGATTTGAACTGCGTAATTTCTAGCGCATACTGTGCTTCTGCTGTAAAAGGTTTTCCATGTAATGGTGATAATAAATGGGGGTGACGTGCGTTGTCAGAAGCCAGTCTGATAAGGTTGTGAAAACTTTGTTTATGTCATGATTGCTTTTAGTCACATGCAAAAACTTATACGTCATCTCTTGTTTCCTTGAGGAGATGTGCGACTTTATGAATCCCCCCAAATACTCCCAAGTCATGTTAAAGTTATAAATACTCCAGTAGACCCTGGCCCGCCCTCGCTCTCAATAAAACAGTGTACACAGCAGTTGTTAACCCTCATACATACGATAAACGAGATACGGAGAGATAAGTGTGGAGTACAGTGTAAGCAGCGTAGAGCAAACTACGCAACACAACATTTTTGAAAGTGTTATATATTTAAGCATTGGATATGATAATTCATTATTAGTTTGTTGTCCATGTGTAGGCCTGTTAATTTGTCTTCGTTTCTACGTTATATTTGTCTATAATTCTTTTTAAAGTTCATTTTATTGATTTTTTTTTTACTACCAAACAGTATGTATTAGTTTTTTCTGGGATAAGTGTAAGTTTTTGGCTATTATCTATAAGTTCATGTTTTAAGGCCATTGTCTACTATGTCGTTAAGGCATTATAGTCAAAATTTGAAGAAAAAATTAGTATCATTAGTAAAGAGTATTAGTCTGATATGTTGGTTAGCATCTACAAGTTGTTGATATGATGAAAATGAGTCTTAAATGGTGCCCTGAGGAACACTAATGTTTACTGGTAGAGTGACTGTGGTGTTCTTCCTGCTTGAGTGGTGCTTCTTGTCACTTAGAACTGTATACAATATTATGAGTAACTTTGACTCCATAATGCTTTAGTTCTATGTGGAAGGTTCTTGTGTTCTAGTGTCAAAGGCTTTTTGCAGTTCAGTAAATAATCCAACCTGTAGTAGATTTTATGTTCAAACTGCCCTACACTATATCTCAGTCTGGTTTTGTTTCATTAAATGCTATACATTCTGTTATCTGTACCTCTTTCCTTGACCTTTTCCTCTCACATCCCAGGAGCTGTGACCTTACCCTCACTACTTCTCTCAGGTAATCTCAGTTAATTGACCTTTTTTTTGGAACGAAAGGTATTGTTACTTCATGGTGACAAGTTGAGTTTATTCTCATTTTTAACTTGCGGTTGTCACTTCTCACTCCTATGGTAGTCCTCCTCCACGCTCACAGTAGTAATTTGAGT